TTGAAGTGTCTGGCTGTGCAACCTTTGTGCTGAGGAGCTGATCAATGGGCTGGTTGGTAGGTAGGATAGATTTATTATTGCTATTCAGACTGTTGTAATGTTAAAGCTGTTTAAAGATCTCCATTGACAATGTGACGATGTTTCTGCAGAGGAGATCTGCAGCAGGTTACACAGACAGAAATCTACCAGTTTAATTTGTTCTCACTGTAGATGATTACAAGCCAAGAATCCAACCCAGAGGCATCAGGAGGTAATGAGGATTGCTCAAGATAAAGCCTCAAGTTTTCTAGATTAACTGTGGGCACTGTCCAGCCAGGGAACAACCAGGTGGAGTAGTGGTTAGATAATAGAGGCAGAACAGAGTCCAAAGGCAACAGAATAAATAGGGCCAGAGGTGTTTGAGTTGCCTGGCAAAAAAGAGCAAAACAGGAAAAATGCTCCTATTGTTTTCATTCAATTAAAAAAATCCAGACTTCTCAAGGCTTTGCGTGGCAGCAGTGACGAGTGAGTCAGGCTTTCCCACACTAGCTTGTAGCCTTGCTTTCCACAGCTGTGCAGAAAATTCTGGATTTTGTTTTTTCAGTGAACAGAGTCTGAGTTTGTAGCAGTCTCCCTGTGCACACACTTGCGAGAGTTCACTTGTATTACCCTGCTAATTTTTTCCCCCTCTCCTTTTTAGTAAGAGATGTATTGATTTCTGTATTCCATATACAATTACTCTATGGAGTGTGTTTTCTAATTAGGAATATGTGAAAATGCTTTGTGTAGATTAAAGTATTTCCTTTAATATAATCTCCTCTCGCTTTCATAGAAAAATGGACATACCATTGCAGAACACATTGCTGATTTTATTTGTAATATTGCTTTAATATCTATTTCAGAGGAATGTAACTTTCAGAAAAGTATTTTCCACATCTTTACTACCTTCCCTTTCACTGTTCACCCTATGTGGATCCAGGTCATCAGCACTTGAGCTTTTGAGTGGATGGGTTTCATATCCTCCATGGATTCTGTCACACTTACATGGCCACAAAAGTTACTTGAGATGGTTGAAGTTTGGGAGGATCCAGGATTAAGAGATGTTGGAGTGATTCCTCAGCAACACAAGCACAGAAGCATTTGTAGCAAGCAAAGGGAATCGTTTTTGCTCTGTGTGTGCAGGTGGCTCTTGGGGTCTGGTCCACTCTGCTCTTGAGGCAGCATTCCTGTGGAAATTAAAAATCCACTGAGAGAAGAACATCCTTTATCTGTGATGCAGAAGGAGGGCAAGCAGTGTAGGGCTTGGGAGTAAAATCCTGGCCAGTGGACATCATGATACCAGTTTTTCACTCTGTCCAGAATTTCACTCTGTGGCTTTTAATAGCTATCTGGGGTGATCTTTTCTTCCTCTGCATCATTCTCACCCTGAATCCACTGGGGCTGATGATAGCAGATACCTGTGGCCCATACTAACTCATTAGCAGGGACCTTACCCAGCATGTGATGAGTTTGCAGAGGGTTCCCGATGTGTTGGGAAGTTTTTTGTTGATGGCCAGGAAATCTCTTGAAACTCCAGAAATAGCTAAAACAGCAAATGGAGTTCATGAAAATCAGGTCTTCCTCTTTCAGCATTTTAAAAGAAACCCACATTTTATTTCCTCTTTCATTCTTTACACAGTAGTTTTAGATATAAATTATTTTAACTTCTTTTTTTGTGTGTGAAAAGTCATATATACATATATAAAGTTATTAAAAGTTTGAGAATATGTTGAGTATAAAATAGTGACTTTGTTTAAGATGTTAGCAGCCCCTAAAAATGAGTTGTTTATCCTCTTGTAAAGTCAATGCTGTAAAAAGGTATTAAAAAATAAAAGATGTGTTAGATGTATCTTTTATTATTTATTTCTGATTCAATATTTGATACAGCTTGTGTATACCCTTGTGACAACCACATACTAAAAACACTGTTGTTCTTAAAATGGAGTAACAGCAATTCCTTGGGATCCCAACAGCTGTGAGAGAATTGGCCCTCTGGGTGTGAATAGTGCTGGATATTGTCCTTCAGTCTCCAGCACTGCTTCCCACCCAAGCATGGCTGAATCTCGGGGACCATTGTGTGCGTGTGCTCAGTTTCGCAAGTTCATTGGTATCTGTGTTCAAATCCAGCTGTACAGTGTTAACAAGTGTGTCTTGTGATTCGCTTCAGCCTGGTTCACTATGATTTCTTAAACATAATTCCCATTTTGTACTTAAATTTGTATAGAATTACATGAACCCTTAAAAGATCATGGCTTACTGTAAAACCCAAAATACTTGCTATTTGGCGTCTTCAATTGCATGACTGATCAGATCAGACAATGGAGATGGTGCTTTCATCTAACAGCATTCATTTCAATGGTAATATATTAATTTTCATTTTGTTTGCCAAGCACCTGTTTTGGACAATGTTTTGGTTTCAACAGTAAAGCAATATGCAGTAGGTATTGTGGCATTATCTCTGTAATTGTTTTGAAGAGAGGATTGTCCCTTTCCAACACATAATGAAAATAAATGCCTTATAACAAGTTCTAGTTTGCTTCCTCTTTCTGAGTGGGTAGGGCAGCAAGGTGAGCAGCTCATTGTGGGAGGCCTGTTTTCATGGGAATTCAATGTTCACATCCTTTGCAAGTGCAGTTGTTTGCAGCCCCACACTCAGGCCTTGAACACCATCTTTCCATCTGAAGAAGGTCTCAAATATTTGTGATTACTTGAATATTAAAGACAGTATTTATAGTAGCTCCATCAAGTAACATTATTTTTCCTCTTGTTGATTTTGCATCAGGACTATTTGCATTATGGGCTATTTCTGTCTGTTGCTGCCATCCTTTGTGAAAAAACTTGTCTAACTCTGGACATGGTTGCGTTTCTGTGGGGGTTGTTTGGTTTCTTGGGTTTGGGGTAGTTTTTTTTTTTTAGTGGGGATTTTTTGTTTGTTTTGGTAGAGGTGTGGTGGGAATAAATTCTGTGAATTTATTGTGACAAGCAGGCCTGACTTTGCAAGGAGTTGTATGGGTGCTGCTACTGGCAGAGACTATCACAAAAAAAAGGGATAAACTAAATCATGGAATATGTCGAGTTGGAGGGGACCCATCAGGACCAAGTCCAACCCCTGGTCCTGCACAGGACACCCCAAGAATCACACCATGTGCCTGAGAGCATTGTCCAAATGCTTCTTGAACTCTGTGAGGCTTGGTGCTGACCGCTTCCCTAGGGAAGCTGTTCCAGCTCTAAATACAATATATTTACAATATACAATATTCAGATTGAAAATACAGTATTCAAATTAAAATTTAAGTGAAGATCAATATGTAAAATGTGGTTTCTCCAGGTGGAGTAACTCCCTAATTGACCTTTTAGTACTGTTTCTGTACAACACCTTTGGTTTCACTATGGTTCCTCCATGTTTTCCTGAGGTTAAAGAGAGTGTGATCTCCTCAGGGTAGAGTTGAAAGACTCTGAGCTTGCTCCAGTGCACTTTCCCCAGCCAGGCTCTTGCCCAGTGCCTTGTCCCAGATTGTGCCGTGTCAGGGCAGCTTTTGGGCTGTGCCTTGGCCTCATCACCTCCTCTTGCCATTGAGTGGCTGCCCAGGGCTGGGGGCGAGGGCAGTGCCCACTCAGCAGCTCCTGGCCCTCCCTGGGGAAGCTCATCCCATGCGTAAGGTACAGCTCTGGGCACCACACCCACCCCCCATGTAATGCACTCCACAGGCCAACAGCACTGAGATTTTTTGCAGAATAAAGAAGTCAAGTTCAAAGCCTGGCAGCCATTCTCTGAGCATCTCCACTGTTCTGTGGGCTGCAGGTGATGGGAGAGAACTGAGCTTCAGACTGGGGGGTCTTGAATACAGCCCTGGCAGTGGGTGGATCTTTCCATCTCCTGCCAATGCACATAGAATATCTAAAATATGATCAGTGCTCAGAGATTTTGGGGCCAGCTTCCCTAACCCAGGCACCCCTTGGTCCTCCAGCTGTCCTGTGGTCTGGAGCCCAAAGGATGGAAAGGTTCTGCCTGTAAACACAGTGCCAGCTGGCTTCTGTGAGCCAGTGCACAGAGGGCCATCTCCTCAGGATAGCCCTTCACCTCTGGGGAGAACAGACCAGTAGTTCTCCTCCTGACTGGCCTCTTTGTTACCTCTTTCTAATCTACTCCTGCGTTGTCCACATGGCTTGACTTGGTCAAGGATTGTCCCAGTGTTTAAACTTCTAACAGTGTTTTCTGTGTTCATCGATGAGCCTCAGATGTGACCCCAGTGTCACTGAAGCACCCAGGACACGCAGTGCCGGGACTGAGCCACCCAGTGGCCCCCGGGTGGGCAGGGAGAGCCCCTCAGTGCTTGGGAACACAGGGAAGTGTTCCCAGTGCCAGGCCCCAGAGGACAGCAGCGCTGGAGCTGGGTAAGGAGGGAAGCACCATCACCGTGTGTCTGGGGCGAGGAGAGCTCTCCGTTCCCCCACTCTTTGCAGGAGAGTACAGGCCCTGCAGCATGCTCACAATCGACACTGAAGCTGCCAAAACAAAGGAAGGAACCCACTGCGGTTTTATTTTTCCTTAGATAAATTTTTTTTATATAGAATATATTACAGTCAGAGTTTTCAGCTTTTAATCAAAAGATAACAAGTTATTGCAGTTTTTTATCCAGTGAAACTATTGGTGAAAGAACTTTCTAGAAAGCTGTCCTGTCTTTTAAAAAAAAGAGGGAGAAAACCCCACCCAGACAGAAAATACACATGTAGGTTGCACTTCGCACCCACGGGCGCCCTGCCGGGCGTGTGGGCATCCGTGTGGAGAGGGGAGCGTGAGGTGAGGCAGCGGCGATGGGCACAACACTATGGCGAGGGAGGCAGGCCTGGGCGCTAGCGAGGTCGGTTCCTAGGCACGGTGCTTCTGCTCGGCTTAATTGCTCTTAGGTCAGGAAATGAACACGCGGTGGGAGGGAGGAGGGTGGCGGCGCTGCTTTCGCCGGCACGGGGGGCGCTGGGCCTCAGCCTCGCCTCAGCTCGTGCAGCTTGTGGGCAACACGCTCCAGCTCGGCCTCGATGGCAGCCAGGCTCTCCAGCTCCTGGTCCTGCAACAAAAACCCAGGACGTGTCAGTGGCCACAGGTGGGCTGCCCTCACCCCCCCGGAGCTCCAGAGAGCCTTGCCCAGGGCGTGAGCACAGCCTTGTCCTGCCCCATCCCCTCATTTGTCCCTCTGGACAGATGAGTGTGCACAGCACTGATTACTTCTGCCCTAATGTTTAATTACTGGTGCTAGTGATGGGGACAAGCAGCTGCCATCCTTCCCCCATGCCCTGCCAGGGCAGCCCCCAGAACACAGCCCCAGGGCTGTGCCCCCAGAACTTGGGGTAGGAGCAGGCTCTGCCAAACAGAGTCAGTGGCGTCAAACCAGGATGGGCATCGCTGCCTGCCACCCACGGGAAGTGCAGCATGTGCCCTGCCCATGCAGTGGACAGCGGTGTCCCCTCTCCCCTCCCTGGGGCAGGGACCCCTTTGCTTGCACCTCCACTAGCAGAAGATACTTTTCCTGGGAAAATAGTGACTGAGGAAGCCATCAGTTCAAAGGCTCAAGCTGCCCATGCTGGCCTCACTGGCCAAGCCACACAGCCCCCATGGCCCAAAAATGAAGAGGGGACAAGACAGCAGCCAGAGCCTGTGCCTTCCCTCACTGCTGTGTGCCTGGCCTTCTTCACTGACTCCCAGAGGCCCCAATCTAGTTTAAAAAGCCAACCAAACAAAAAAGTCTTGTTGCAGCTGTAAACACAGCTGTTTTGCAGCCTCAGCAACCTCTTTCCAATCCCCATTTGGAGACTGAATCTGCTGCCTCGCAGACAAGGTGCACCCCAGAGCCAGTTGCGGGGGCAGGTGAGGAGCAGACTCCCTGGGGGAGAGATGTGGGATGTGAGCAGACAGTGGTGAGAGACAGATGGGACAGCCCACCCCACTGCATCCCTGCTTTGAGCTGAGACCTTTGGCTTTGCTTTGAACCGACACAACTGGAGATGCTCTCATGGGGGGGATGCTGATGGGCAATTTTTGGCCAATGGCTTGGTATATAACTGAGGCAAGCGAGCCAACTGGGTTCACTCACCTGCTGCTCCAGCCTGTTCCCAGGCACCTGATCATGGCCTATCCCAGGCCCACAAAGCCCAAGCCCAGCCAGCCCCCTGCATTACCCCAAGTCAACTCTGCCTGGAGCTGGGCCTCAGCACAAAGGTAAACACACCAGCAGTTCCTGGCTGCTGGGGATGTGCTGAGCTATTATGTAGCACCACACAAGGTATCAGGGAAGGAGATCTCTGACTGTGGAAGCCTGGCTCAGATGTGTTTCTGTATCTGTCAACCATTTTCACGCCAATGTCTTAGGTCTCTCACCACAGCTGCACCCCTGATTTATCTCTGTAGGAGGTCTGACATTACTCACTCCACCCCTGGAAAGGGAAAGAATTCCTTTAGATTTGGGAGGGCTTTGGGACACAAAGACTACCCCTAGGCTCCAGTTACAGCTCTGGTTACTAAGTCCAGTACAGGCCAGTGCAGAAGTCCTGTCACTGGAGACATGACTCTGGGGGGCAGGGAATGCTTTTGCACTAGTCACTAAAACAAGGATAAAAACCAAAGGCACAGCCAGGTGAAAACTTCAATAATACCTGAGGCTGAATAACTAGAAGTTCACTAAGTATCAACTTAATGTCACAGACGACCACTGCTGTCTACGTTAACGCCAGTATACCATCCACATCTCCAAATGTAGTTTGGATAACTGGGTGGGATTTATTATTAAGCCTAGGTACACCAACCTCTGTTCTCCTGTTAGCGCTGCCTTCCTCATCCTTCTTTTCTTCAGGCATGGGAGCAAGTGGAAATCCTCCTTCACTGCTGTCCTCCTTCGAGTGACGCTTCCATGACCTTCTCACATCTTCCTCTGGACTACTGAAGGCATACTTGCGGGACCTAAATGTCTTTTTCATGGACCTGTCTGGGTCTTCCTCACTGTCATTTTCTTCCATGCGCTTCTTTGATGTCAGCTGCTTGGCCAGCTCATCCATTTTGTTCCACCTCTTGGTGTCTTCCCATTCCCTGGAGGACTCCTCCTCCATTTCATCGCTTTTGGCATCCCTGGGCTGAAAGGTATCCTCTTCTCCCTGCATCTCCTCAACCTCCAGGCGATGCCTTCCTCCTCTCAGTGCCCGGGGGTGCTCTTCCTCCTCCTCTTCCTCCTCCTCTTCAGAGCTCCGCACATCTTTTCCAAATCCCAGCTCATCATCATTATCTGAAAGAGCATTAAACAAAGTAGTGAACACAACTGTTAACCTGTTTAAGGTCCACCTTTGAACTGAGCCTTCAGTGGTGATGCCAGATGTATTTCTTGACTTAGGCCTGCTTTACCAGGGTTCTGGAAATACCCACTCTCATGTTGCCGTGTCAGTAATGGGGCTTGAAGGCAGCAGTCAAAACCACTGTAGGCAGCTCAGGGAAGATGAATTAGTTGTCCCCAGGAGCTATGAGAGCTGAGCAGCAAGGCAGCTGCAGGGCCTGTGCTACCTGCTGTGAACAAGCCCATGTGTCAGATGTTTGTGGTGCGGTCTGGGTGGCTGCTGGCTGGTGTGTTTCTGCAAACCCAGTAAGCAACTGCCTCAATTTTTTTGGCTTTGAAGTTTCTAACCCATCTGTCTCAGTGCTCTCAGCTCACCCCAGAAAGGATCAATGCAATCTGAGATACATACTGTCACCTCTCTGCATCTCCTCAGCCTCCTCATCCTCCTCAGCCAAATCGAGTGACCTCTCTGCTTCAGTAGGGTCCTCCTCTGCAGCTTCATCTCCATCATCCTCTTGCTCCACATGCTCCCCTGCTACCTCCTTGCTGTGCTCCTGGCCCTGCCTGGATGGTTCTTCTCCCTCATCCTCAAGCTCCAGGCTGTCCCTGGAGCCTCTGGGCTCCTCTTCTTCATCCCCTTGCTGGTGCTGCTCATCCTCACTGAAATTTTTGCCAATGTGGTTGTCCAGAACTTTGTTTCGATGGGTATCCTCTGTATCCCTGATGTAATTGCTCTCAGCTTCCTCCTGGTCCTCTTCCTCAACAGGGTCGATATCCCGTGGCCTGGGCTCCCTCTCCTCCAGGCTGTTTTTTCCCTCCTCTCTTGAGTCTTCATTTTGCTGGGGTTTCTGTGCTGCCAGCTCAGCCAGGGACCCTGTGGGCTGCTCCTCTTCAGGACGCTCCCCTGCTGCATCTACAGAGGGAGAAATGAGAAGAAGCACCTCTACTGAGAGCTCATTTCACCACCAGCAAAGGCCAAGCATTTCTTATGGAGCTTCAGCCTCACTCAGCAATCTGCTTAACCAGCCCATGGATCCTTTTGCAAGTCACTTCAGCATATGTTTGCATTCAAGCAAGGCAGTGATCTCTCTGATGCCTGTGCTCCTGGAGAGACTTGCAAGGCTGAAGTTAAACATATGCTGAAGTGTTTTGCTGCAGCACAGTCCTCATCACCATCTCTTGAGATGCCAGCCACGAACTCACCCTGCATAAAATCAGACTGCATGTAAAATGAAATTATTTAGGAGTGTAATAAGGCACTTGCACAGCTTTCCCTGCTCTGAGTGTTGCACTCATATCACATCCTTATTTCTCCCACAAGGCCAAGGAGGCAGCCAGCCCTGTTCACAGGGTGCTGGAGGGAGGAGGGGTGACTGCTTCTGAAAAGGAACTACTCAGCAGGAGCTTAATGTGGGCAGAGTATTTGCTCTTGCTCATGGGAAACTGGCTTCTTTTAATACTATTAGCCAGAGAAAATACTTTGCAAAAGAAAATATGGGAGTTTAAAAGACAGAGAGATATGGAAAGGTAAGTGCAGCCCCAGGGAGGCCTGAGCCCCAAGGAGGGCACAAGGTAAGTGCCAGGATGAGGGGATGCAGAGAGCTGGTCACACAAGCCTGGTGGCCACTGTGACACTGTGCTGGTGTTACCAGACTGTCAGTGGTCCTGGATAGCCCATGTGCCACATTTCATCTTCACTTCATCTTCCTCCGTCTCCATGCTGCCAGAGCAAGAGTTTCAGGTGTATCTTGGCAGTAGGGAGATGCAGTGCCACCATCCTACCTGCTGGATTTTGGCAGTGCTGGCTGCAGCAGCAGCAGCCTCTGGGGCTGTCACTCATTGCTCTAAGATGTTTTGCACTGGTGTCACAGCAGTGCTGTGCTGCTGTGGGCCAGCCATGTGCCCCAGAGCTGTGTGAGACCCTCTGTGGGCACCCAGCTGCTGCTGGAGAAGGAGTCACATCTCCCCACACTGGCATTGTGTCTTCCTGACAAGGAAGAGGGTAGGGGCCAACCCCTCCTTTCTGCTGAACTGGCTGTCTGTAGTAAGAGAAACACTGACAAGGGGAAATCCCAGCTGAAGGTGATCTTTCCAAGATACAGGTGTTTTGTGGGGGTGTGTGGGTGTGGGCACTTTGTGTGTTTCAATTTTCTCTTCAGAGACTCATTACTTAATATCATAGATGCCTGGAAACAAGAGTGACAGGCAAAAACCCGGATCACCTTTGCCTGTATCACTGACTCTCAGTGTGGGATTTCCCTGGCTGTGACTCATTTTAAGTGTTATACATGAGTGAAAGTGTCAGCAGCAGGCTGCAAAAGTCAGCATCACTTTGGTAACTTGACCATCACCAGTTGCTATAACTCAGAAACCATGTGTTGTTTGAACTGTAAATAAGAGCAAAGCAAACACACCAGGTTGGTTCTGTGTGTCAGCACCAGCATCAAAGAAAATGCCTAGAAGAGAAGCAGATGGAGATATCAAGGCTGTTCGAAAAAAGATCTTTGTTTACAGCCTGACCTGGATTCCCCGGGGGTGGAGGCTGACACTGACCTCTCTGCTTGTTCTTGTCGTTCTGACTTTCAAGGACTTCGGAAAGTTCATCTTCAAAGCCGCTATTTTTCTTCTGCTGCTGAGTTCTCTCATTGGCACCTGTGTCAAGTTACAAAAAGTAGGGAAATGCAAGAGTCCTTTCTGTGTTTCAGGAAGCAGAGGTAGGAAAATAGTTCTGTGCCCTCTATATTTGCTACAGTGGGAAAATCTACCTGGGAGCTGGGAGGTGTGAGACTGGAGGGTATGTGAATCAACTGCAGTAACAAAACCACAATCAAAAACATCATCTGCAGGATAGAAAATGATCTCTAAATAGAGAAGCAGGGTTGCCAGGAAAACTAATATTGATGGAGATCTAGGGAATAAGAGGTGCTGAACTGCAGCACACTGGGGGCAACAAAAGACTTCATCACTGGAGCATTGAAAGATAAAAATTGCCTCCTGCCAGATTCTGCCTATGTACCTCTGTTGAGGTGAGCACTGAGAGCTCCTGTATCCTCCAGCCTGGTTGTGGGGGCCCCTCTCCCCTGGCTGCTGGGAGGAAGAAGAAGCATTCCTTCCCACTGCAGGGGTAGTCTGGGGCTCCAAGGCCCCACATGTTAGCTCTGGGATTATGGAGCCTGCTAGAAAAATACAACACTCTAGAGAGAGGTGTCTGAAGGCAGCATGAGCTGGAAGTCAGGCTGCAGCTGTCCTGGCAACCAGCAATGGGATCTGCAGGCCAAACAAGCCCTGTCTAAATCAGCTCATGCCCTGCTTCTATGCCTTAATGCAAGGAAAAGAGCCAGTGCTGCCAGCCCAATCCCCTAGTCCAGAACTGGATGATGTGGGCTCTCCAGCCTGAGCAGAACCAGCTGCACCAGCACAGAGGACACCAAGATTAACACCTTTGCTTTTCCCTCAGTCTAAAAGACTGTTCCACCCCCCGTCTCTGTGATCTGTAGATTGGATCTCATGTTACCCTGGGACTAAGTGGTGTGATGGGCTCAGGCTGAGGAAAGAGTGGGGCAAGGTGCACCTCCATGAAACAAGTCCCTTCTTGTGGACTTCATGCTGAGTGGCGCAGCCTGTCTGATATCTGAGTGCTCCTCCTCAAATCTCTGGTGTGCCTGGGCAGTTACATCCCAGAATACTGAAGAGACCATGTGTTCTTCCTTCTGGATCACCAGGGCATCTGTGGAGTCCATCTGAGGTCACTGAGCATCTGGCCCCTCCACCATTTGGGTAGTGACTAAAATATGGGTTTGGGAGCTGCATTAGACTCCCAACTGACTTCCTGAATTTTTCCTCTCCCCTCTCTCTGTTGCCTGTGTCTTCCTTGCTTTGAAAGCATTCTGGTGGCACTGCCTTCCAGCCATCTCCGGCAGACTTACTACACAGGAGCAGGGCACAGGGATGCCCAGTCATTGTCTCTCTGGTGATGCCCAGCTGCCCCCTGGTTACCCCATGGAGAAGGAGTAGGGACGGCCAGGAGGTGCTCTCCCTGCAGCCTGGGGAGAGTCCTGTTGCAGCCTCACCCGGACAGAGGGATCTGAAGCAGCCTTGCCTGGGATCTGCATGTTAGCTCTGGGCAACTGGGCACCTGAGAATGTCCCTTTTTCCCTCAACACCCCTTGGCACAGCTCCATGGTGCTGCTGCTGCTCCCACATTGGCCAGTGGTGAGCAGCCTGCACCTCTCCAAACCAAAGAAACCTGCATTTAAGTTAAGGAAGCCATCAAAAAATACCCATTAGCTCAAGAATATTTTCACTGAGGTTTTTTAGGTGCAGGTCTTACTGTTCAGTGGGGCTTCCCAGCTGCCACAACTGGCTTTAGTGCTAGACTCCAGCTGCACAGACAGCAGAGGTTTTATTGCCTTTAATTCTAGTTTGGGAGCCGGTGATTATTTATTGAATTAAATTACACTGTTTCCTTTCAGAGTTCTCCCAGCACAAAATGTCTAGATTCTACATCACCACCAAGTTACATTGAAAGCTATGGAAATTATCCGATACATAATGAAGTTATTATAAACAAAATTCCTGTCCCCACTCACACAATCTCTGCTGAAAATCTTGGAACTACATTTCCTGGGGCATATTTATGTGATCTCAATATAAGATAAAAAAACAAACACAAAACCTAACAAGCAATAAAACTCTATAAGGGACTAAATAGAAGAAAACATTCTTCCCTAAAGCTACATTCCCAAAAAATATACTGGCACTGTACCTTGAGCAGCAATTTCCTGAAGTTCCTTCAATAAGTTTTGGTGGCGAAGGATAGAAATAATTCGTTCATCTGCAACAGGGAAGACTTAGTACAGAAAGTAGTCAAAGCAAACCTCCCCCCAGCCCCAGGAAATGAAATAGAACCCCAAATGCAACTCCTTCATTTGCTCTTTTCTCTTTCTTGGCCTGATTTGCTCTCACATCTCTTAACTGTGTGACTAGATGACAGCAAGGTCCTATGACAACCAGGCAGTTTGATGTCACCCAGCACCCCCGTGGCCACAGTGCCAGCTCAAGACATGGCCTGGGACAAGCAGTGGCTCCAACTCTGCTCCTGGGGCCCAGTACAGCCCAGTGGAAGAGGAAGGCGAACATGTCAGGGACCCCTTAATAGTGGTCCAGAGGCCAGGGCTCAGTTGGTCAGGGCAGAACCAGCCCCTGCTCATCAGATTTGCTTTTGCTGATACCCAGCCAAGTGTGAGGCAGTACCTCCTCGGAGAGTTTCGAGGCATTCCTCGCTGATCGGCAGGGGGTTTGGCTTAGATAAAGTATCAGAGATGACCTCTACAATGCACTTCATCACCTACAAAGAGACAAAAATACTAATTAAAGAACTGTGTTTTTGTCTTTTTCTCCTACTTGTTACCAAGGCTAAAGTACAGCAGATGATGGCACAGATCTTGCTTTTCTGGTCAAGCCAGAACTGAATGTTCAGTTCCTGTTTTCCCTAACGCAGGAACAGAAGGTACTTCCTGCGACTGAGAAGTGAGCAAATTACACATGACAATGGAAAGAGCTTCTTCCACATGAAACACAATTCAGCTGAGGATTGCATGGCTTCAGACCATCCCAGAGTCTGAGCACATCTGGAGGGTAAAGGGTATCTGAATATATACACAGAAAATTCAAAATCATCCTCTTTTAAGTCAATATATCTCAACCTGCATCTCATAAAAGGACTCAGTGGGAGGTTGTAGAAAGCAAAAAGTGGTCATAGCTGTTCATAGATGACCTTGAAATCTTAAAAGCTCTTCAAACCCTAGGAAAGACATAATAGTTGGATTGAAGCCAGGCATGGAAAGTGAGGTGAGGCAAACTACTTTCAAACATAGATGAGAAAAACTGCTCTCAGACCCTAGAAAGGACAAGATGCTTTGGAGAAGTGTTTGATCTTGTGCTTTGAGTGTTCAAGCAATCTATCATAGACTGGAAGAGCTCTACATGATGGCAGTTCATCTAAAGCAAAGTTCTGACACAGCTTCTCAGACAGGATGAACTCTGGGCCCACCCTTTCCAGCAGCCCTTTTTGTTGGTATAAAACCAGGAGCATTATTTATCTAATTTGCCACCTGCACTGAGATTGCAGGCGTCCTTGCCATGCCAAGACTACTACTGGGAGCCTTAGTGTGTGGTCATGTAGACCCCGATGATCACACAGGACAGAAGCATTCACTCTGGTACAGTCTGGTGCTGTAGGAATCAGGCTGCTTAGTTCAAAAGGAGCATTATTTATAAAGCAATCTAGGAAGAATGCAGAGCTCACAATTGGCTGTGGAAAAAAAAAAGAGAGGCTAAATTGAAAAAAAGAATGTAAGTTAAGCTTTGGAGGCAAAAAATTCACTACTGAGCCTCTTTCTCCTGATGATTTCAGTAGGCAGCCCTGAGAGCCTTGACCTCCCTCACAATGTACCATTCTCAGGAGAGCAGAGTGCTGTGGCTGCAGTAGAAATTAAACACAAGTCAGCAGTCCCCAGTCATCCACAATGCTGTTCATTCAAGCACGTGGATATATTCACTGGACAGCTGGAATGGGAAAATTCTCACCCTGTGTAAGGAGAGAATACTGCTTTTGCAGATCACAGCCATAAAATGCTGAACTCTATGCCTTACACAGCTTGAGGGAATTTCCTAATGGATTAAAAATGCTACAGGAAGGATTTAAAAAAAAAAAAAGAAAGCAGGGGAATTTCCCTGGTATCATTCTCCTATATCACAAGAAATCCATTAATACTGATTTTAGATGACTTTCAGTCACTCTAAATAGAAAAAAAACCCCAGATTCTGCTATTTCCCTCTCATGTTTCCCAACCTCTGGACCCACTTATTATAGCAGTATTTGATGCAGCTTCAGAAATAAAGAGTTTCTCAGCATGAGAAGGAAGACTCTGGTTCAATGAAATATTCCATTCAATTTTTTCAAGACTTCTAAGCTTATCTGAGGTCTTTGAGCACAAAGAGACACATCACTCACCACAGAAGTACATGCAACTCTGTGGAGGAGTTTAGTAAGGTAATGAAATGAAGAGTGCAGTCATCCCACAACACTCTCCTTGTCTTTTTGTTAGAGGAGATCTTGCAAAGTGAGACTTCACAAGGTCATGAAACAACAGCCTGCATCAGGAAATGGAGGAGATCCTTTCCAAATGAATGTAATTAATCCAGTGCAGAAACTCAGACTGGAATTTTGCCATAGCTATCATCTAACCATGAGCATGTAACTAGATCCTTAAGAGCAGCTCACAATGTCACTACACAGAAATCTCCAAAGGGTTGTGCCCTTGCAAGGACAGACTTCTCTATATTTGAGCTCAGCTATACTCTCTTAAAATGTATGGTTGTAAGTGAGAAATAGTGTTCTTCAAGCACAGGAGTGGGCAAACACCAGATACATTGTAAATGCTTTGGTCTTGTTCAGCTCCCTATGGAAAGTCTGATGAGCTGCCCAGGAAAGGCCTGCAGGTGCTGATTAGCCATTACACAGCCCTGGAACACCCACAAATGCTGGTGGCACAGAGCATGGTGTGTAGAAAGAGCTGCAGTGCTTGTTGCTGTATTCATGTGATGATATCCTTGCCCTAATCTGTTCCATAAGACCAGGAATTCCTTCCGTGAAATGCTGTGTCTCAGAGGATGGTGAAAGCAGGAAAGCCCTAAAGGCCTCTTCCAATTGCAGTAAATTCAATCAGGCAGCTGATTTTTCTCTCAGCTAAAGCCTGTGTAAGTGTAATACCCAGGGAAGGGGGGCAGTCTCGGGAAAGTCCTTCCTTGGTGGAAGCATTTCCATAGAGTCGCACCAACTGCCACAAAAATGCCATTTTTTACACATAGAATATATTGGGGAATGGACCTCACAAGGAAAATCATGTGATTAATGGGTTGTCCCATCAGATGCCCATTCTGGCGTGCAAAGTTGAAGGGGTAAGTGCCTGTCCCAGGTCCCCTTCCTCAGCAGCACACAACCTGAGGAAGGCACCCAGTGTCTCACAGCTCATGGCTCAGTCCCAGCAAGGGCTAAGCAGGCTAAAAGTCTTAACAAAGCAACCCTTCTCCAGGCCCAGGCATGTCTCCCAGGACGCAGGGAGGTGTTGCCCGTGGCACACATCCTGCAGGTAACCTGCAATGGAGCCGGTGGTGAGACTGGCAGCAGTGTGCCCTCCTCTGCTGCTGCCCGGGGAAAAACATTATGTGGCTGGAAGATTTCATAACACAAAACAACACAAGAAGTAAAAAGGGGAAAGGCTGGAGTTCCCTTTATGGACATGAAGTTTCAAAGAAATTTTAATTTGGGCAGCCAAGAGATCAGTTCACATGAAAGATGGGGAAGGGTGGGGAGGTCAGGGAGTCGTGTCTGACATAGATAAACACAGGCAAACCCCCCAGTCCAAGCATTTAGGTGCCAAAAGGCTGTTGGGAGTGCACGTTTGTGAAGTGCAGCTATAAATGTTGGAGGGTGTGACACAGATATGTGCACAGAAGCCTGTAAAGGAGGGCTGGAGAGGTCAGCCAAGTCCTGCACTGCTCGTAGCCACCCAGACAGGCTGAGCAGGAGCTGAGGATGGATTAGCAAGCTGAGAGTACCAGTTGCCTATTTTTCCAGAGCATGCATATTTAAGTAGCACACATACAAACTCAGATGTATACACCCCCAAACACACAGTTTCTGAATCACATCTCCCCCCACTCTCCCTTGAGTCACCTCCTGCTGGGAGCTTTGAAAAGCTGAAAATAGGAGGACTAAGGAGCGTTATACCCAGCCTCCATCTCCCCTTTAAACAAGCTTGCCTGATCCCTCTGCCACATCCTGAGAGACTTCCTTGGCTGCCCAGAAGCAGATGCACAAAGGGTAGATTCTGTTAGGAAGGGAGCAGAGATGGATCCTGCTTGAGGGATCTCATGCAAATTCCTGGCACTTTCCACAGGGTATTTCAGTGGGAGCAGCCCCAAACCAGCCACCTAGGTGGAGGTGAAACATCCCTTTCTCTTCATTTGACCCTTCCACTGCAGGCTCATCCTTACCTTAGTGTCGCCTTTATTCATGTCATTTGTCACAGGAAGAGAGACAGCTATAAGGTAAGGGAGGGGGGGAAAAAAAAGAGAACTTGTTATTCATCTCATCTGGAAGACAAGCAGAGAAACACTATTCTGCAAAAATGGGAGTAGAGAAGAGGGGCATCTCTCTCTCTGATGGAAGTGGTCCCTGGGTGCAGCAGCTGGATGTGTGCACTGTGCCTCTCGGGAAGGGAAGGGAAGGGAAGGGAAGGGAAGGGAAGGGAAGG